CAGACCAATGGAACAGGGTTGAATACACTGACATCTCTCCTCAATCATATGCTCATCTAATCTTTGATAAAGGTGCAAGTAATGTGAAGTGGAGTAAGGAAAGCCTCTTTAATAAATTGTGTTGGCATCACTGGACGGCTACATGCAAAAAAATAGGCTCAGAACTCTGCCTAACACCATGTACAAAAGTAAGATCAAAATGGATTAAAGACCTCAACATCAGACCAGAAACCATAAGGTACATTGAAGATAAAGTTGGCAAAACCCTCCATGACATTGAAGCTAATGGTATCTTCAAAGATGCCACGCCACTGGCCGAGCAAGTGAAAACAGAGATAGATAAATGGGACTATCTTAAACTAAGAAGCTTCTGCACCTCCAAAGAAACAGTGACCAAAATACAAAGACAGTCTACAGAATGGGAAAGGATATTCACCGAATACACATCTGACAAGGGGTTGATATCCAGGATATACAAAATACTGGTTAAACTCCACAAGAAGAAAACATCCAACCCCATCCAAAAATGGGGTAATGAAATGAACAGAAACTTTCTCAAAGAAGAAATCCGAATGGCAAAAAAGCACATGAGAAAATGCTCTACATCATTAATCATCAGGGAGATGCAGATCAAAACCACAATGAGATACCATCTCACACCTCAGAGACTGGCCCACATTCAAAAGAACAAAAGCAACCGATGCTGGCGTGGATGTGGCGAGAAAGGGACACTCCTTCACTGTTGGTGGGAATGTCCACTGGTTCAGCCCTTCTGGAAAACAGTATGGACAATTCTCAAAAAATTAGAAATTGAGCTCCCATTTGACCCAGCAATACCACTCCTGGGAATATATCCCAGAGAGGCAAAAATGTATAGTCGAAGTGACATCTGCACTTGTTTGTTCATTGCAGCACTCTTTACAATAGCCAGAAACTGGAAGAAACCGGAGTGCCCAAGAACAGATGACTGGTTAAAGAAACTTTGGTACATCTACACAATGGAGTACTATGTAGCTGTTAGAAAAGATGAAGTCATGAAATTTACATACAAGTGGTACAATATGGAAAGTATCATGCTAAGCGAAATGAGTCAGAAAGAGAGGGATAGACATAGAAAGATTGCATTCATCTGGGGGATATAAAGTAACAAAGTATGAGATTAATACCCAAGAATAGCTGAGATCAGCACCAGGAGGATTACTCCATAACTTAGAGGCCAGCCGGGTATCCTAGAGGAAAGGGCTGTTCAGATAGAGAAGGGAGCACCTAATAAAGGATGTTTGGAGGATCCTCCCAGGAGGGGAGATGCATGTCGAAAGTAGACTATGGACTGAACATGTATGCCACTCAATGCCTCTTTTGCAGACCACAACACCCAAAAGGAGAGAGAGAACACAGGGGATTTCCCTGCCACAGAGACAGGGGGGATGGGGGGATGGGGGTGGGAGGGATATTATCCATGGTGGTGGAAAATGGGCACTGGTGGAGGGATGGGTATCTGATCATTGTATAATTGAAACCAAAGCACAAAAAATTGTAAATCTACAACTTTAAAAAAATAAAATAAAATAAAGGGGAAAAAAAATGCATGAAAAAAAAATAAATAAATAAATAAAAAAAGAAAAGAAACAATTTCTTGTTTCACAGGAGAGGGAGAGGGAAGGAAAAAGGGGGGGAAAGAGGGAAGGAAGGAGGAAAAGAGGGAGGGAGGGAAGGGGAGGAGAGGGGAGGGGAGGGGAGGGGAGGGAAAAGAGAGAAGAAACTTTCTAACTGGCATGCAAGATACATGTTTTATCTCTAAAACATATAGGACGAAGTTACATTGACACCTAATTCTCAACAGACAAACTGTCATAAAACATTAATCTACAAGAGGCAGTGTTAGGGAGGGGCCCCTGGGCAATGAACTTCAGGAAACCTCAAACTGAGATGTGATATCAAAAGGAATTAGCAAGCCCTATCACAGTCTGAGGCCCAAGACTCCCAAACATCCAGCCCAGACTAAGACCAACCTGGGGCTCCAACCTAAAGCTGAGTGCAGCCCTGCCCAGACTTAAGGCCAAACAGAGGCTCCAACTTGAGAATTCACCCAGTCTAAGACCAGAGAAACAGCTATATGACACCACCAGGAGTGAGTCCAGAACAGAGCCAGGAATAAGTCCTGAGAACGGCTGGATCAAAGACAAAACCAAAGATTAATCTCCAGGCCAGTGCCTGGAAAACAGATAGACCAAAGGGTTAGAGTGTATGTCAGAGGCCAGGATTCAATTCTCAGAATGGCACAGTACCCAGAATCCCCATTCAAGCATCAAGGTAAGTAGCCTCTGAATGCCATCAAGTGTGGCCTCAAAACCCAAATAATAATTTTTTTTAAATGATGGACCTAGCCCAAACCAAAAGACTGGATGCCTTTCAGGAGACAGTTCAATTAAGACCCCCCACTGAAAAGACCAACGGAGTTCAAAGTCTTTGACATGCTCTACCAATGGGCATTTTCAGGCTAGGTAAAGCAGCTGGGATCCCGGTACCAAGCTCGAACATGCTCCAATCTGGACTGGTCATAGCCTAGATCATGGGATACGTGATTCCACCCCGTCCCAGTCCATTCCCTCCCAGTCCCCACTCTTAAGCAATTTAGCTATTTGCTTCTTTCTCTAGTATAACAAATATTCACAAACCTCATACTCTCAAATTGAGATCAACCAGACAAAAATAAATTACCGTAACACAAGATAAAACACAAATAAAAATGGTTATAAGAGCATGCTCACAAGATCCAGAGGGACATAATTTTAAGAGTAGAAGACAGGTTTTGCAGAATAGTATCTAATTTGGGTCTGAGAGGATATGAAACACAGAGAAAGAAAAAAATGGAGAAATTATTCCATGCTAAGGAACTAGAACCCAAAGCACCAAACTCAAAAGCGCTGGCAACTCAAGTAGTAGATTGAGAAAAATGGTATTTGAATGAGAAGTCAATGAAAATGTATTATTCAGAGCTCTAAGAAGGCTAAACTTACTGTGGCAGATGGAGAATTAACAGAGTCACAGCTGCCAGATGACAACTGGACATATTCAATGGGTGGAAAGAGATGGAGATGGAAAGACATGCCAGGTAAGGTCACTAGTCTAGGTGTGGTAAGCAGCATCTCAAGTAAAGAGGGGCCAACAGAAATCGGTGGGGGAACAGCTATGTAGCACACAATGTTTCCTCGAATTTTATTGAAACTAAAGAATGAGCAGGGTCAGGAATACATTGCACAAAAATGTGAGGACTGTATCACTGTCATCCCGTTGTTCATCGATTTCCTCGAGCAGGCACCAGTAACGTCTCCATCCATCCTAGCCCTGAGATTTCAGCAAGTGCCACACTGGAGGCTCTTTCAGGGTCAGGGGAATAAGACCCATCATTGTTACTGGGTTTTGGCACATCGAATACGCCACAGGGAGCTTGCCAGACTCTGCTGTTTGGGCAGGATACTCTCAGTAGCCTGCTGGGTTCTCTGAGAGCGAGAACTAGACAATAAGAAGTCTTGCAGCTGCCAATGCAGCTGTGCGCTTACAGGAGCTTGGTTTTACAGTCTCTGGGTCTTCACCATTAATGGGATTACATGGTGCAGGGGGCAGTTGTTGGGTATAACTGTCTAGCTACTGGAAGATGGGGGATCTGGTGGAGGAGGCCCAGTCCCAATCCAGCAGACTTGGAGATCTCAGACCTAGGTGCCACAAACCTGGGTTCCTCTGCAAGTTCCTTCAATGTGAGGACACCAAAGGGAGTAAGAAAGGGTCTCATGTGGAGGACACTGTGGCGACAGACCAGGGAGCTCACCTGGGCCGACCCAAAAGGGATAGAGTAAACATTACAAAGGATATTATGAGATACTATGAAGCCAGGTAGACGGAGTTTAGTAGCTCATGTGTAGGTGAAGCAGAGGTTTTAAGATGAAATAATCATCTGTCATTAGCAGATACAGCAGGCACAAGAGGAAAAGTAGGATTAAAGCCAAAGGGACACAAGTTGAGGTTTCCAGACAATCAAATTAAGTCATATTTATTAGCATGATATCCAGAAATAATGTGGTGCCCACAGAACCAGTACCGGGGAAAGAAGTAGCACTGTAGCACTGTCCTCCTGTTGTTCATTGATTTGCTCAAGCGGACCCAGTAACGTCTCCATTGTGAGACTTCTTATTACTGTGTTTGGCATATTGAATACATCACAGGGAGCTTGCCAGGCTGTGCCGTGCAGGCGAGATACTCTAGGTAGTTTGCCGGGCTCTCCAAGAGGGGCGGAGGAATCGAATTCGGGTCTGCCAGGTCGGCCGTGTGCAAGGCAAACACCCTACGGCTGTGCTATCGCTCCAGCCCAGGGAAAGAAGTATAAGATTAAAAATACAGATGTTACCCACAACAACAAAAAAAAAACAACTCAGAAATAGTGATTCTGAAATAAAATAGAATTAGAAAAGCAGGGCAAAGCCTGGCAAGCTACCTGTGATGTATTCAATATGCCAAACACAGTAACAATTGTCACAATGGAGACATTACTGGGCCCGCTCAAGCAAATCGATGAACAATGGGAAGACAGTGACAGTGACAGTGACAGAAAAGAAAAGCCCTTTAAGAGGAAAAAATGGGTAACAAATTTTAAAAAACTATTTAGTAGGTAAAGAAGAATCAGAGAAAAGTATCAGAATATAAGTTACAACCAAAATAATCAAGAACAGTGCAATAATGCTCCCTAATCTTTTTCACATTAAAGCATGTAAACAAAAAATATCTTTACTGCAAAGAAAAGGAAATGAGGTGGCTAGATCCAGACAGTTCCAGCACCCAAAGTTAAAAAAATTAACATGAACAGTTAATCCACTCACTGCATTATTTAGAAGTCCTCTAATCCAAGAAAGTTCATTACAAAAAAATTAACTGTAACATGCTTTACCTCCTACCTTTTATTCACGTTAATAAAAAAAGTTAATTTAAAACTCTGCAACACTTACCCAGTTCGCGACTGACCAACTTTATCACATATATCCAAAATGAGGCCCCAATCCTCAGCAGTATTCATCTCACTGGTAGCTTTCTCTGTATATCGAAAAAAGGAATTGCAGAAACATCACTTGTAAAAATATTTATGAAGCCTTTCCTCCCCACCCCAACGAGACCCTGAGTCGCCGCCCACGAACAGCCTCTCTGGCTTCTGATCAAGCTGCTTAACAGCCATGATCCCAGAGACTCAGAAACAAATCTCGGAACCCAGTGGCTTTTGACAGAAATGCATCCGGACCTGCAGTAGGTTACTGTTGCTGGGCCATCCCAGGGGGGTAAGGATGCTGTCCCTCTGCCTGCTCCCCGTAGGCAGCTCAGTGGCTGCCATCCTCCAGAGGCCACTGGATAGTCAGGTTTGGGCTCTCAGTGACAAGACACGCAGGGCCTCACGGATGGGGGTGGAGCCGGCCCTTTCCTTCCCTTCCCAGCGAGACCCCCGAGTCACCGCCCATGAACAGCATTTCTGGCTCCTGATCAAGCTGTTTAACGGCCATGATCCCAGAGACTCAGGAAGAAATCTCGGAACCCAGCAAGTTTTGGCAGAAATCCCTCCAGATTTAAGTGTTAAAATTTTGGAATTTCAAAATTGCGCAGCCACTACTGCAGCCATACAACATTATATGTTATTCTTAACTAGCAATAGAAAACAAATTGTCTACTGTTGCCTTTTCAGCAGATCTGAGTGTTGGGGTAAAATCCCAAATAATAATGGTGGGTCTGGTGTCAAAATATTAAATGTGATCAAAGTAGATAAAGAGTATGTAGAAATCATCTGCCCCAGAGGTAGGGAAAGAGTGTGGGATGGGGGTATACTGGGGTTTTTGGTGGAGGAGAATGGGCACTGGTGAAGGTATGGGTGTTTCACTGTATGACCGAGACTTAAACCTGAAAGCTTTGTAACTGCTCTCATGGTGATTCAATAAATAAAATGATAAAAAATGCAAAAAACAAAAAAAGGTGGAGTTTATGCCCGATTCAATCAGCTAATCAGTGGCTGAATAAATAGCAGTACTCCTACATAAAAAAAAAAATCATGAAGCAAATAAAGTATTCGGAGTGCCTGCACATGATTAAGTTTCACTTCTGTAAGTTCTCCTAGGTCCTCATGGACACAATCAAAGTAGACTGTTTTCATTTTTCTATAAAGGCAGAGGAACATAGGCATTCTGAATTAAAAAAGAACATTCTGTTTTTAACATGGTCACTCTCAAGACAAAGTATTTTACCAGTATTTCACCAACTAGGGTTTCACCAATGACAGACCCACCTAAGGTAAGGTAAATTTCTACTTTAGCTCACTTTCCCCCATCAAATTAGGGAGAAAAAAGTGCATATACATAAAGTTCATATTCTCTGTCTGCCTTCTCTCTCTCTCTCTCTCTCTCTCTCTCTCTCTCTCTCTCATACACACACACACACACACACACACACACACCAGGCGCAGATCAACTGAACCAAGAACTAATCCCAGGATTATAAAGAGCTTCCCTCCACCGACAGTTTCCCATCACCCACGAATAAAGGCCGACGTCTTTACCTAATATATCCAATCTATCTACCAACAAGGCACACATTATATGGAAAAACTATGGAAACAATATGAGGCTCCATGCTGCAGAGGTCAAGCAAATAGAGAATAAATGAACAGAGCACAGAGAATTTGTACAACAGTGAAACTATTCTACATGTCATAACGACGAATAACATATCAAAACCCTTAACATATATATAACACCAAGCGTGAACACAGACTGTAAGCCACAGGCCATGGGTGATGATGAGGGGTGAACCTAGGTAACTGGGTTGTAACACAGATCCAATCTGATGCAGGGTGTTGATTGGGGGAGAGGCAGTGCGTATGTGGGAGCTGGAGATATACAGGAAATCTCAGTTCTATCTGTAAATTGCTGTATGAATCTAAATGTGTTCTACAAGCACGAAATAAAGTTATTAAATAAAGGAATTAGGCAACTGTGCAGAAAGAGTTAACGCTACATGCCTGACCGATATCCCACTGAAAGGCCTGCTCATGAGCATTGTCTGGGGTATGGGAACTTCGATTTCAGGAACGTTCCCACCATTCTTAGAACTGAGAGAGTGCCTCACTGTGCCTCAACTGGTTGCACAAACAATATGGCTTATGCTGGGCAAGCGCCTCCCTTCTGGGAGTCTGGAGTTTGGGCGCACGCCAGACTGAGTGCCTACATAATCAGCTCCCAGTAACAACCCAAGTTCCTAATGAACATCCAGCGCTGGCAACATTTCACGTATGTTGTCACAATTCATGGCTAGGGTACTTAAGAGCATCTTGTGTGATTCTGCTGGAAAGGACCCTGCAAAGCTTGCTCCTGATTTCCCCACATTTCACTCCATGTGCCCTTTCACTCTGCTGTTTTTGCTCTGGATTCTTCACTGTGAAAAGCCTAACCATGAACATGCTATATGAGTCCTGTGAGTCCAGATAATTTAGTAGTGGGAGAGTAGTATGGGGTCCTCCCCACCAAGTTTCTGCCCTCTTGGAAGAGAGCAGAATCTATGCAGGGAGGAAAAATTTTTTAAAAGAAATCATTCTCTTTCCAAATGAAAGCTACAGAAATAGGCCTAACCGCCTTTCGGTCTGTTCGGTTGGGTTTGATGCTGGGCACCCAGGGCCTCACACATACAAACCCTGATTCTCCCCCTGAGCTGAGGAAAGAGGAAAGTCTTTTCCGGCTAGAGAAAAACCACCCTGATTAAAGCGCTGTGAGCCAGACAGCAGGAAGCAGAAAGGCCCTCGGCCACACCAAGATTCTGCCCGCAGTCTGGTGTGGACGGGACCACATGCTCCTGCTTCTCTGTCTCTGTCTCTGTCTCTCTCTCTGCCCTGTTGTGAGTTCCACAAAGAACACACTTTTTCCTCATTTTCACTGGCCACTGGGAGCTGGAGGTAGGTGAGAGCAGATTAAAAAGCAGAAAAAGAAAGCAGCCAGCTCTGTCCAAATGACCTGCAGGCCCCTGAAACAGTGCTACAGATGCAGAACTGAAGCACCTAGTGAAGTCGGCAGTCAGTGGCAGCCACGGGAACAGCAGGGAGAGGGCCTTTACCGAGCTAGCCTGCCATCTTTCTAAAATGCAAGACTATGTTGATAAAGACGTTATTCTCACAAATCCCTATCAGAAGAATATAAAAGTCCAAAACATCTAAGACCTTGATAAGGTGATTTTTCAAGAAACCATAAAACTTGTAAAGTGTAGTAAATTTCTAGTCTATGCCAGATCCTATCAGTAGCACTGTAGCACTGTCCTCCCGTTGTTCATCGATTTGCTCGAGCAGGCCCAGTAACATCTCCATTGTAAGACTTGTTGTTACTATGTTTGGCATATCGAATACGTCACGGGTAGCTTGCCAGGCTTTTGCCGCGCGGGCGAGACACTCTCGGTAGCTTGCCGGGCTCTCTGAGAGGAGCAGAGGAATGGAACCCTGGTTGGCAGGGCCAGCCGCGTGCAAGGCAAGTGCCCTACTGCTGTGATCCTATCTGAAGATGCTAATACTCTAAAGGGAATTAAATCAGGGGGGAAAAAAAGATCGTTTTAAAATTCACAGAAAAAAAAATGTAAAGACTGAAGTAAGTTGAAAATATAGTGAAAAGGAGAATGAAAGATTAACAAAAAAGATTCCTTGATGCCTATAAAGACATAAAGGTATACGATTAATAATAAAACTCTGGTTTTCACTTAAGTGAATACAGTAAAAGGTAAAGTTATACACACAGAAAAGAAAAGCAGCTAAGAAGCAAGTGATGGAAATATAGAGCCCTCTGAAAGTATGGAACCACGCTGACACATGAGGTGTTTGTATTAACTCAAGAATCAAAAAACCAAAAAGGTGGGGGTTTTGTTATTGTTTTGTTGTGTCAGGAGCTTTCTTTGGTTGGAGGAATGAAACCAGAGTCACAAATGCAAGGAAAGTATTATGCTGCTGAGCTACATCACAATCACCAATAATATGTTCACAGCAAGAATTAGAAGGAAAAAAGATCAACTGCCAACATGTAAGAATAGTTTTTTTTTTTTGGGGGGGGTCACACCCAGCAATGCACAGGGCTTACTCCTGGCTCTGCCCTCAGAAGTTACTCCTGGCGGTGCTCAGGGGCCCATATGGGATGCTGGGAATTGAACCCGGGTTGGCCGTGAGCAAGGCAAATGCCCTACCAGCTGTGCTATCTCTCCAGCTCCTGTAAGAATAGTTTGAAGAGGAAAAATGAGAGACTATAATGAGACTACTCATAAATGGATTATTTGAAAGTGAATGCTAAAATGCTATTTAATTGTATGGAGGGATAGTCAACAAAGACAACTGAGATAATAATATGGGTCATTATTTAAGCCCCCAGGCTATACAGCAAATTCCTTAAAAGCAATCACTTTTACTTCTGGTAATTCTTCCAATATCCATGCCCTCAACCTAAGTATTCAATATATACTAAAATAATACATAGTTCATATAAGTCTATAAAAGTCACAAGAACTCAGATCTTTAATGACACCTATTCCAATGTCTTTTGTTTTTTTGTTTTGTTTTTGTGGGTTTTTTTTTTCCTTTTGTTTTTGGTGCAGGGGTGGGTGGTGGAGGGTGAACCTACACCCAGCTGTGCTCAGGGCTTACTCTTGGCTCTAATTAGCTCAAGGATCATTCCTAGCAGAGAGCAGGGGACCATATGGGCGGGGTGTTGGGGATTAAACAAAAGTCTACCGTGTGCAAGGTGGCCCTTCCTGCTGTATTGCAGCTCCAGCCCTTGTTTTGTTGTGTTTTTTTTTGTTTGTTTGTTTGTTTTGTTTTAGAGCCACTGCGAGGCTCTGTCAAGTGGTACTCTGGGGATCATACGATTCCAGTGACTGAACTAAGGGCCTCACACACTGGGAATGTGCCCTACCACTTTAATGATCTCTTTGGGCTGCTTCAGTGGTTTTAGAACTTACTACTAAATGCAGAAACTGTCTATAACTCTGCTACCACCAGGTTTATCACAGGCTTCATGGGTTAAAGGCAAGCACAG